TAACAAATTTGTTGCGTATGTATAATCCTGGATGTCATATTACGTAGCGTGTCCATTTCAAACCATCCCGAGTATGAGTCCACAAGCACAAGGTAATGTAGACCATTCCATTGAAATATATCTGTTGCTACTGTTGACCATGGTAGATCTGGTACAGGATAGGATTTCTGTTGGTGTGTTCTCAAGCTATTACACACAGCACAGGAAGACAATGCCTTATCAATGTCGTCAGACATGCATGGCCAAAAGACAATATCTCGGGCTCTGCGCTTAGTTGCTTCAACTCCCGGATGTCCTCCATGTAGTAGAGCTATGTATTTGGCTCGTAATGATGTCGGTATAACTAATCTAAGTCCTTTCATTACAAGACCGTCATCAATTCCGTTCATCACGGAACGCATGGTAAGATCGAATTTCAGGCGAAAGCTTCTTCTACATTGGCCATCCGTGCTGAATTACATTAGTTAGCTTTCTTAGAGTGCTATCAGTACTTGTCTCAATCTTTAATTCAGCTAATCTTTCATCTGATATTGGCATGATGGTCATTACATCAAATTTCATATCTTCTGAATCACATTGCACAGTGTTACTGCATGGAGCTCTGGACAAAGTATAATTCTTTACCTTGTTTATACACCAGTGTTATGTTGAACTTTTGTAGCAGTAACATCATTCGCTGTAGGCGAGCTGGTGCTGAATGAAGTGGTTTGCTCATTATGGAAATTAGTGGCTTATGATCAGTCTCAACTGTTATTTCTTTCCCGTAGACATAATCATAGAACTTGCAACATGAAAATACAACAGCCAACAATTCTTTTTCAATTTGAGCATAGTTTCGTTTCGTTGGAGTCATCATTCGGGAGGCAAAAGCTATTGGCTCTCCATTTTGTAAGCATGCTGCTCCCAATCCAAATTGTGAAGCGTCACATGTTAACGTCACTGGCTTACAAACATCATAGTACTTAAGAGTTGCTGGGCTAGTTATAGATTGTTTCAGTTGTTCATATGCTTTCTGATGCTGATCAAGCCAACACCATGTTACATCATTGTGTATCAACTCGTACAATGGTGCTGCAATTTCACTAAGGTTATTGATGAACCTTGATAGATAATTGATCATACCTAAGAAACGATGCAGGGCAGCAGGACCATCTGGAACAGGCATTTCCTTGATCGCCCTTACCTTCTCGGGATCTGGTTTCAAGCCTTGATCTGTGAAAAGATTTCCTACATAGCTGACTTGTTTCAATCGGAACTTGCATTTATCAGGATTCAGCTTTAAGGAGACTTGTCTAGCCCGATCCAATACTTGCTTTAAGTTATCATCATGCTCATCATTACCATTGCCTGCTACAAATATATCATCTACAATTATTTCGCATGGATATCCAGCAAATATCTGTTCCATTGAACATTGATAGACCTCAGATGCTGAATTTATACCATACGGCATTCGAAGAAATCTGTACCTTCCGTATGGTGTACTAAAAGTAGTACGCAATGAGGATTCTGTATCTAGTGGTATTTGTCAAAATGCACATTTTGCATCCAGTTTCGAAAACACGGTAGCATTTGCCATATTTGCTGCTACCTCTTCCACAGTGCGCATAGGATAGTGTGATTACACCTATGTTAGTCATTCTACTCAACTCTGCTTTGACCTGGTCATTCATTGCTTTAGGAATTCTTCGAGCAGGTTTAACCACTGGAGGTACACTAGGGTCGACTTTCATTTTGTAAACACAAGGCAATTTACCAAGATCATCATTGAAAAGGTCAGAGTAATCTTTGAGAATAGATTCGGAGAATGATTGTACAGTTTCTATTTGATGAACTTCTTGGCCAAGTGAGATTAAATGCATTCATAGGCAGTCCCGTAAGCCAAGTAGTGGTTTGACATTCTTGTCAACAATGTGGAATTGGTTACCACTGCAACATGTCAAATTTGTGGTTCCTACAGTGTTCATACTATCACCTCCATATGCAATTAATTGTACTCTTTTACGTGTATCAATTTGT